ACTTTCGTCGACTTTGTCACGACCACCGCGCTGAGCGGAGTCTGTTTTAAAAGGTAGCAAACTCCAGCCGCGGTCACCCCCGCGAGGTGATAAAAATTTTCCGCGCGCGTGGCCTATCGCGCCGAGTTTTTCCACCGTCAGGATTTCCGCGCCATGTCGGTACGGCTGACGAAACGACGGACGAACCCAGGAACACTCGCGAACTCGGTCGTTCGCCGGATCCATCATCGTGCGTGTGTCAAACAAAGGTGCGCACACAGTTCGCTACGTAGATGAAAATCGACTGAATTTTATAAACATATCCGAAATAAATAATGTGGATTAATTTTTGAATCGAGTGCCTTTTATGAAATTTATATTTTGTTTGATATAAAAAAATATGCTGAGGTAAATCTTGAAAACAATAGTCGAGCCTTCCTCGTCATTTCATTTAAAAAAATTAAAAACTCGGATATTTGATAACGAAATAAAAAGAAGAACGAATATTTAGTTTCGCGGACTATTGAGAGATGTTTTTCGGCCCGTAGATATTTAACAACAAATAGCTCGCGTCGGAAAGTTCTGTGTTTTATTTCATGTTATTATTTCATGTTTACTGACATATTTGACAATGATACATAAAGGTGCGAAATAAATACCAATTAACATCGGGGTCAAGTTACAATATGAGTGCATGCGCTGTTATAATTAAAATTCCTCCTGATGCTTTTTACCTTTTAATGTCTCTCGCTAATGTCGCAAATATTGTAAATCTAAATAATATCAGATTAACCGGTGTTATAAAAATAAATAACACGATGTAAAACGATAATGTAAAAACGACATGTAAAAACGCTATCTTACGATGTCAGTAACGAATGAATATTTCTCTGGTGAAAAAAAAGTTTCAAATTTCCTCACTTTCTCGTAAGTTCGTGCGCATACCTCGCGTTCCGTAACACAACTCCATTTATAAATAGGTATATCACTGTGAAATTTCTCTCGCGGTGCATGCCAAGGTATTTACGCGCACGTCCAAATTAAATCCCGTCAGCGTTCCAAGCACAAAAGCGAAATCATTTGAACTGGGGATGGGGAACGGTAATAAAAACGGCCGCGTAAAAGCAGTCGGGGATACCTAAATTAATCCAAATTACCAACTAATATGGAATCGCGGGAAGGCGTAACGCGCCCGGCGAGAAGCCACATAAAAATATCTTTTAATTCCGGGCAGAGGTTTCTAGACTGCGACGGAGAGCTCTTCGCTTGGAGCTTGGAAACTCGAGGAAAGTGCATTTCGAGAGGTTAAAAGTAGACTGGCGAGGCTGACGATGCCTCTGAAACTTTGTGAACGCGTAAAAACAAACCGATCTGGAAACAAGTGTAACTTATTTAGATCGAGGTTACACGGCGATTCAAATCGAGCTGACGTTTACGTTCGAAAAATTAAATAAGCCAATATATCCGAGACAAACGTAGAATTTAGTCTTTAATGTCTATTATTAAAACATATATTTTCAATTTCGACGTAACTTCACAGTATATCTGTTATTCAAATGCGTATCAATATTATTTCAATTTCCATGTAATTTTACACATTCAGAGCGCATAATTGAAAGCGTCTAATTGCTCGCATAGTTTACTTCAATGGTATTTAATTTAACCTTAATTAGATCTCTCTTGATAATAATGTATTATATTTTTGGGCACAATGCTGTCACGTTCCCACGTTTTTTATCACTTGTTATCCGAAATGGTTATTTTTACCTCGTTTATTCCTGCTCTAAACAGCGCGGTCGCTCGTTGCGGGAGGTGAGCTCGACTCTAAATTAATTACTAAACAATGCCGAGGCGCCACGGCGCATGGCGTCTTTATTAAACGAGTTCGCCAACCGGGCATTTACTTAACCGACACATCATCCCACAGGGGCTGTCGTGTTTTAACTCATAAATATATTCCTTTTCTCTTTCCCTCCCTCTAAATTCAATTTCTCCTATTTGTATCGTGCCTTCGTCGACCTGTTTTTCGTTCAGTCCATATTCTATTATTATGTATCTCGAATAATCGATATCGGGGAAGGAGCTTCTGAGTCCTTCAAATATTAAAAGATATTTTAATCGAGAGCAAAAGGCGTGTGCGTCGTCACGGATTTGTTTCTTCGCGTTCATATAAAATTGATTTCCCGTTTCCAGACAGCGAAGGTTGCCGCCGCACCGGAGACTGAAACGACATTTGTCTTGTGTTCAGGCCGCAAAATTTCCGGCATCATCGTTGCCCACGTAGAGACAGAGGCCGATGCACGAACGTTGCATCGCCGAGGCTTTCACGGCGATTGCTTTTTCGGCGTCGTTTGTCAGCCCGGACGCCCAGCGAGAAATCATTCGACCGTAAAGAGAGCGAAACGCGCCGTGAAACTCTCCGCCGACCATCTTTGCATCCCCTTTGGAAGCGTGTTTTCTTCCTTTTTTCCTTACCCTTAGGGAAGATGAAAATAATTTTAACGTTGCTTTTATACGAGTGTTACTAGCGTTTAACCGACTTTAGCTTCTGACGTCAGTGATCGAATGGAATATTTAAAGCCAGGAATAATATGAGATACAAGATTATATTGAAAAAAATTACGGTTCATTAAAAATACTTGGAAAAACGTATCTTTTGATCGAATTGGCGTGAAATTAATATTAAAGCTTAAACATTCTTTTATTCTCGAATAAATTCTTAATATAAATATAAAAGAGAGAAAGAGCTTCTCGATACACTGCAAAAATTGCTGATTCTAATTTAAAAAGTCTGCTATCATAATCATGGATTATTTTGGTGTTATTTTGATTACTTGACTATACTAATAGTTTTCTCAGTATTATTTTGACAACAATAATTGGAAAAATGTGTATGTATTGCATAGATTTTTATTTTTACCTAACTTGCGCAATTGATCTTTCATCGTAAATTTAGTTTCAAGTTAAGTCAACTACTTAATATCGCAATAATTAATTTAGCAGACATACTTAATATTTTTTCTTCATTTGAAGTGAAAATTAACCAAATAAAATTTACTTACAGATATATTTAATATCGGAAAAAATAAACGTTAAAAATTGAATCTTCATGAAGCAAGTTAAAAAACGTTTCAACATTTTCCAAAAATAAAATTCTGTCGGAAATATAAAAAAGTATACTTTAAGCACATATAAAATGTGCTTAAATCTGTTATCAAGTTCTTCTTGTTCCACATATTTGACCGTTTATTTAACAAGGCGTTAAATAAATATATTACGATATGCATTTGCGAGAGTAAAATTTGCATATAACAATTCCCTGGAATTATGATAAATTTTGTTCTCATGTAAACCACATAGGTCGCAGTTCTGTAAATCCTGTGGATTGTGAAGTTTCCACGGTCATGTGTGCGAAAAGTTTTCACACGTCAAGAAAAAGCATCGACGGCGACGAGGCGCGTCGCCGGGCTATTTACTCCCTTATTTATTATTTTTGCACGGACCATCACCACCTATCGCCCCTGCCCCCCTGCCCCCCTGCCTCCCTCACTCCCTTCCCATCTCTCTTTCTATCTCCCCACCCGATACGCGTGAAACTTTCCCGGAGGATTCCCCATGGGAATCGGTGTCCGTTTCCACCGCGAAGTTGCGCCCCTGGGGGTGGCAACGGCAGTTCGGTAACTCAGAGAAGGGAAGGCGGAGGGTGTTCTCGGGAGGAAGGGTAGACAGATCGACACGATGGCATCGAGAAACTTACGGAGTTACAACGTCGATGAGGCGAATTGGCGGGGCTAGTTAACGATAATACTGACTTCGCTCGACGTCGCCCTCGATGCTTCCGCGACGGAATTAAAAGACGCCGAGAGGAGAAGACAATAACGCCTTACGCCGTAGATTCGCCGAGCACGTGCGCGTATTTCAAATCCAATGTCGCCGTGTGTCCTGCTCGCCGGATTTTTGCGGAGACGTTTTTCAGATTAATTGCCGTGCCGGAGACGAGCGAATCCGTAATAAGAAATATTTAAAAGGAGACAGGTTAATCGTCGACTCGAATACAATAATAATACACGTGACGTAAGCCGGCGCGCGTACGAGCGAGCGTACAATGTCGCGACGACTGAATTCCGTTAATTGATTCGCCGGTTGAATCCGCGTGCTAATTAATTCGCCGACAAATTTCACTCGGTACGACCGTGCGGCCCCGAATTGCGCAGTGAGTTAACTAGTTCCGATGATGACCGACGGCACACGATGACACGCGCAAGTTGCAAGTAGTATGCATCACGACTGTGCATGTGTCACGTGGGAGACGAGGGGGGATGGTCGGCGGAGCGGCGGCGGGACGCACCGTCGCGCTGGCTCGCGCCCGAGGGATCGTTCATAAATTATGATTACGTATTAATTATAACGGAGTTTGCGGACGCGAGTGTTTAGATTGACTTGACGGCGAAATGGCCGTGACATCCCGCCCGTTCTCGCACGATCGCGCCACGCGTTCTCGGATGTTGTCCGGACGGTCGGGCAAGGAGGCTGTTACAAGGGACTGCTGGATATCGGCTTAATTTAATCGACTAACCCGCATAAATAACACACTGTCGGAGCTAAGCTGACCGCGCGATTAACGACCGTTGTATCGACATCGACAGGATTCCCGTTTCATGGCTGCCATCTTCGACTAACACCTCGAGGCATCGAAATCACCGTCATCGACGAGACGTATTCTTGTTTCTCTTCGTGGAAACGAGACGTTTGGCGATTTTAATGGAATTAAAATCCTTGTCGCTTTTATAACGATAATTAATTTTGATGACGACTAAATGAGACTCGACGTCGCTTCGAAACTTTTTACTTTTAGATACTTACGTCGCCGATAGGAGAAGAAAAAGAGAGCGAGCGTTAGTAAAAAAAAAAAAGATCGAAAGAGAGTTAGTTGAAGAGCGAGAATAGCGTACTGGTTCATGCAGCCACTTTTGGGGTTTCGTGAAGCGAGAAAGAAGTGAAGCGAGAAGTATGACACAGACCTCAGAAGTGTTGGCGACATCATTTGTTGGGCTACTGACCGCGTTGTTGGAGTGCGTTTGATCCGTCTTGAGTTCACGATGATTGCTGAACTGCACGTAGACCGCTCTGCCTCTGAGTTGGGCCACGCCGGAAGCATAGTAGGTCACCATGGTCGCCGCAGCGTTCTCGTCCGCCATTTCAAGAAATGCCTGCAACAGTAAAAGAAGATTCAGATCAATACCCAGAAATCATTCGGCAGAAAATATTTGAAATAAATGTATACAAAAATGAGACATTTAAATAAATATATTATTTTTCACTACGACATAGTTGTTGATTTTGTAGCTTAATTTTTTCCGACGTAAAACAGTAACTTTTTAAAATGTACCTCTCAGTTGCGTCTAGTTTAAAACATTTAAATAGGTTAAGTATTAGTTTATTTTAATGAAATTAATAAATTTAGGTTTGACGTGTAATACGCTTCTACTACTTAAGATATAACGGCACATACGCTTTGTAGTCTTCCTAAGCCGAATATCTTAGCAGTTTGAGATAAAAGGGGATGTGCAACTGTCCAAGTTTGTATAGTTATTTTAACCCGAAACCGATCTCGGGGAGTTATGTTGAGATTCTTTTCTGATTTATGCGCAGAAAGGTAAAACATGCAGGAAGGAACGGAAAGCATTTTTATATTTACCTTGGAGCGCAAGTCGTAATGGAATATCTGAAACTCGCGTACGAGTAAACATGCTCGGAACAGACGGCAAAATTCAAGGAAACGAAACAGGAAAGGGGGTGAGCTCCGGGCAAACTTGTACGTACAAGAATTTCGTTTTAATTAACGTCGTTGCGTGGCGAGATAGCAATTGCTTCTACAAAAATGCTTTTTTTTCCCTCTCATTTCGATATTTTATTCTTTCGAGTTTGCTTTAATAAACATACTTCCACGAAACAATTTTTATCGTCTATAATACGCATTGTAATAATTTATATTGTAATTTCGTCGAAAAATAAAAGTAAATCGTATAACGGAGGAAGAAAAGCGCGTCTTCCCCTTGAGACCCCGAGTAGATTTCGCTTTGAATCCTTTCTCCTTTGAGTGTTCATGAAATTAATAATCCCGTATTTCTAAATCGTCCTCGTGCACAACTCGGCGTAAAGGAAAATTCCCCGAAGACTCGGATCGCGAAGTCGCATCCACGACAGTCAAGTGGTACGTTTATCGAGGAAAACTTAATAAAAAGCATTACCCGTACCGCGCCGCGTTCTCCAACCGTTTTATTATCGCGGTCGACGGGTCGGGGAGTAAATAAAGATACGGAAAGAACGAGGAGGGAAAAAAGGGGCGCGATTTCGCTGAGACAGAAATCGAGCCTGAATATAGAGAAAATTGATTTGCCCCCGGGAGGAGAAACGGGAGTAGAGAGAAAACAGCGACAAGATTAATAAAAACGTCGCGTAATCGTCTCGAAGAGGCGAGGAGCTTTCGCGACAACTGCATTTCCGAGCATCTCATAATATGTATAAGCGGCGGATAAGCAAGGGAATAAAAAGCGCGGGGGAGAGGGGGGGAGGAGGGGAATGTTTATGTGCGGAGATCGCGGTTATATTCGCCGCATATCTACGAGAGTCTTCTTTGTCGCTGTCCTCTCCGTTTTCCGCACGATCCATTTTCAATTCAATATCGATTCGCATTCGCAATGCTCGCTGTTTCCCGCGATTCTTCGAGAGCGTTTTACCTTCCTTCCGTCTTTTCGCATCGATATCGGTATTACTTAAAGCCTCGTCATAATCGGGAGAAGAGAGACGCGACGAGTATTGAATCGCGAATAATTCCTTATGTACAAAAGTCCGTTGCCTCGATTGTGAGAATCTCGGTGAGTCAGCCGGATCTTGGTCGTTGTGTCGTATTCTATGCAAATTGAGCATTGCGAAAAGTACTGGAGGGCACGTCTTATTACGCGTTTAACTTGATAACTTTCCTTGAAATTTTATTATCTTATCCGTGAAAGTATAAAAAGTAATCTGTATTTCGTAACGTATCTTTTTAGAACAGAAACTGTCTTAAAGCTTTTGAGCGCGCTTCGGAGAAAACTTGATATCGAAAAATGCAATTTTATCCAGAAATAAAATATCCCTCTCCGTTGTTGTATATTTTACGTTATCTAAATTGATATAAGTTTTCTCTGCTGAATTATATTACCGAGTGCACATTATCGATTGTATAATTCTCGGAATATTTAGTTTTTGATAAATATATATCCGTCGTATCTGAATATTTCAAGGAATTTTCTTTTGATATATATATATATATATATATTCCAAATATATATACAATAAAGGAAAATTAGTGAAAGAGAATAGAGAAAGATAACAATTTAATACGTTGTACCTCAGAGAACTTATGAAGTTACAATCTCATGATAATATTAGAGAATAAAATAAATATACGCACGTTATGTAAATATACACGTTACTTTTAATTTCAGGTAGAGATTAGATCAAATACAAAGTAGATATCGGAATTTTCGAAGAAACTTGTGATTTATCCATGGCGGATAATGCACAAGTCTCACAAATATAACAATCTATTTATTATTAGATAAGAATTATTATAACGTTGAGAGAGAGAGAGAGAGAGAGAGAGAGAGAGAGAGAGAGTAATTATTTATTT